ATGATTCGAACCTGTAAGGATACGCTATTTGGAACCTGAAGTGGGTTCTTGTCATTACTAAAGACAATCAAGTCCAATATTGCCAGAAACGGCATTGCAATTTGGAATAAGCTCACAAGAATTCCCATCCAGAACGCTGATGAGCACACAGGAGCAGTGTAGATGAGACTAAAGACATTCTCAGTCATATGGTCTTCTATCATCCCGCGATGTGATCCTCGGTAAACCATCTTTCCTTCGTCATCATCCATAACAGCAGCTTCAGCAGGTACAGTTTTGGTCACCTCTGGACCCCAATGGCTACGACTGTCGTCTCCATTGTGTTCAGCTATAACGTCCCGATTGCTGTTATTGTGACGTCTCCTTATGTGTTGCCCGTCTCGATCTCTCGTTTGCTGAAAATCATCATTGTTATTCTCTTCTTCATCATATACATTGTCTGGTGACGATTCCTTATCCTCTTCCTTTCCTTCCTGCATCATACTGTCTTACTTATTATGGGAAAACGCGATGAATAAAAAAGATTATAATATATATCGCATGCAAGATGAAGCTGAGATATTTTCCTTTGCAGAATATAAACCTCTCTGAATATTCAATACGCGTGTATGTGCAACCCTCCGTTTTGGAGCGCTTGAGGAAATAATCATGCCAGCGGGCGGAACACGAAAAAGCACGCAAGATATTCCGCGCATAATATATGCTGTTGAAGTCGAATCAATCAATCGGCATATATAAAATAATGTCGGCGGCATGCATTGTCAAAATTGATTGACGATGAGAATGACAGCGGAATTCCTACGCGCTCAAAAGTGAGTGGCAGTTGAAACTTATTCAGTCAATTTTAAAAAATATATCAGATCCGAGCTATACTTGCAGCATTCACTTCCGTACAATCAGAGCTTGATGGCGGATCAAATTGGAAAAGAAATTATAGTGTCGTTGTTTATTATCAAAAAGGCATCGTTCGTATCTTTACTCTGTTGGGAAAATGAAAGCGGAGATTTACGACTATATGAGTTTGTGATCCAGAGGATCCTATATTTTCAAAATGAAAGACTGTACGAACTTAATTTATGAAGTGCACTAAATTGCACCAAAACTCTATCGTAACCCCGACCCTTCCTCTTTTCTTCTAAATTATTATCTAGAGCCAAAAGTTGCGAGACGATTATAGAGGGACATCGTCGTCGAAACCACCGCCATCGTCTCCGAAAGTGTTTGGATCATCATCTGTTGGAGTGCCATCATCGGTTGGGAAGTTTGGATCATCAGGGTTGCCATCATCGGTTGGGAAGTTTGGATCATCTGTTGGAGTGCCATCATCGGTTGGGAAGTTTGGATCATCAGGGTTGCCATCATCGGTTGGGAAGTTTGGATCATCAGGGTTGCCATCATCTGTTGGAGCATTTGGATCGTCATCTGTTGGGTTGTTTGGTGGATCACCACCCGCCCCATCCGGTGTACCATTTGGAACAGCTGGATCACCGCCATCAGGTGTAGCTGGGTCGTCATCCCCGAAATTGGGATCGTCGTTAAATGGGTCATCGTCACCAAAGTTGCCGTTGCCGCGAAATGGGTCATCGT